CGTACCACTGATTCCTCGATATCTCTCTCGAAAATCGCATTAACTATTCGCAGCGAGACCTTTTTAACATAATCAGCAAACGAAACAAAGGATCGTTATCACTGGAAATCCTGCGGCGAGGAGAAAGAGAGAAAAAGAAAAGAAGGAAACACCCTAACGACGTGAGATTGAACCGGTGGTAATGATCCACGAAAAAGAAGAAGCCTCGATCGAAGAACCGTCCTCTCGAAACAGATTAATCGTGCACAGTGAAATCCGTTTCAGCTTCGCCAGGGAAATTTCACCCTCTTTTAGGCTTTCAGCTGCTCCCCATAGAGGTACCAGCAGCGGTTAATGAGGGGTGATCTCCCACCCCCCTTTCCGCTTTTTTTTTTTTGTATTTTTCATACTCGATCTTCGCGCGCGCGTTTCTCCGGGAAGCCGAAAATTGGTCGACGAAAGCGCGAATGAAATGAAAGAAGCGACAAACGGCGATGGGGGAGGGAATATCGATATGCGGGCGAAGTAAAACAGAATCGAAATGAGACAGGGTGCGCTTTGAAGGGCCGCCGATCAAAGCGCGGCCCGTCAGCTACGAGAAAAAACTTTTTTTCCTACCCTCCCCCTCGGACGAATTCGTTTCCTCCGCCCGGTTATTGCTCGAACTTGCTAAATCGCCGCGCGGAAAACTGCTCGTCCCCGTGAAAGGACCGACCAAGAACTTCCCTTCGGCTCAAGCATTCAAACGGCGATTTTTCGGTTCTTTTTTGTTTCTTTTTTCGAAGCTAGCCTTTTCGACGATCGACTCCGACAGGAGTTTTCCACGTGTATATATATATGCATATGTATACCACAGCGACTCGAACTTCTATTTTGAACGCTACAAAGAGTCTTTTGATTTCTCGAGGTTTTTGTCGATCGGCGTGGAACAAGCGCGGGATCGAGGAGTTCTCGGAGCTGTAATCTCTAATGGCTAGGCTTCGTTATCCGATTTATCAAGGGTGAGGAACTTTTTTTATACATTTAGCGGTTTGGTGAAATTAATTGTATTTAGGTATGCAAGTTTCGTTGATATTAGCAACATTGTACGAATTGTATCGAGGCTCCTCTCGTGCGTCCTGTGGCTTGATTAATTTGTGAACTGAAGTTCGCTGAAATGTGAAACAAGAATTGGCGAGAATCAGTGTAAAATAAAGTACACTTCAATGAAAAAGAAAGGAAGAAAATTGGAACAGCTGGAAAGCTTGCAGTTTCGTTAAAGGTAAGGAACGTTTCTGCGTTTGATGGCATGGTAGTCTTATTAGTCGGAATTACTTTCGGGCAGCGCGCGCAGTCAATTATTGCCGAAAAAACGTATGAATTTTATTCAAATGAGTTGGTTTAAGCTGTGTGCAAAAGGTCCACAGAGAGTTTGGAAGGCAAAAACGCCTTGGCGGGAATATCCCGGGGTTCGACCGCGAAGAGTTAATAATTGTACTTTGATATATAAATTATGGTAAGGTACGTTCTGTGTGTTTCGTGAACCAAATTTTGTTGGAACCGCAGACAAGAATTATTCGACACGAACTTCACGAAGAATCGGTCTAAAATAAGGTAGACTTGAATGAAATGAGAAAGAAAATTGGAACAGCTGGAAAGCTTACGGAGACGTTGCTTTTTCTCCAAAGCAATCACAATCGGTACCTTAAAGCGTGCCCCCTGTGAAACCAGGTGTAAATCGACGCGTTGTTGATTACAGGTTACACTGCCGCGTCCATTGGACAATTATTTACGTCTCTGGAGAGAGCGGAGTTCACGGCGGCGCTTTGATACGGAGAAACTAATTATTAATTACATCGATCGTGTATGACGCGAAGCTCGTTAGTAGACGGTGTAGCGTGTGTATCGTTCCCGATACACAATCGTGTTATAGAGATTAATTAACGATCGGTCGACGAGTATCGGCGCTTGTGTATTTTTCTGGGGAAAAAAAAAAAGAATCGACGAGGTGTCGAGTATTCTCGTGCTCGATGCATCGTATCGAGGACCTACGCGATACTTTCGTTAATGATGTTCGAGTGTACGCCGCATTGTCTCCCTTTTGCACTACAATAAACGGCGAACCGAAATATTTTCTATCCGGAACGATATGTCTCTCGCGGTTGTCGCAGTTCGAAGACGTTCAAGCGAAACAAGAATGCATTTGTATTTTTTCCTTACGTAGTTTTCATTGATCTACGTTATGCGCGTAAGAGATTATTGTTGGCAAATAGATCACGAATCCTGTGAAGCTTGAAGGAACCCGGAAATTGGCCAGTTAACTTTGTAATTCTATTGTTTATTGCGGAATTCGGAACTCGTTTATCTTTCCTTTCGAAGAATTCAATTAATGTACTGAAAAGAAAGTACTAAACACTGTGCGTGTATTTTGAGAGGGAAGTATGGTTGTTCGACCGTACCGAGGACTCGAACAATGGAGCCCTACCATATTCACAAATAATATATTTTCCGTAAATTGGTCTCTCTCCTCGCCATCAGCAAATTGTTTTATTACCTTAGAAAGTCGAATACCCTACATCTGGACACCACATGCACTACACTCATAAACCACCTTCCGACCTCAGGATTTTCCCATCCCCTAATATAACAATTTTAGCAACAATTTCCCCACTTCGACTCCACCAGACAAACCCTACCACACGTCCCAAACACCAATCAACCGATACTCCCACCACTTCTCACACATTTCACACCACCAATCACGGTACACACCGAACTTATAAAAACACAAACACTCAGTATTTGTCTATCGTGTAAAACGTATATCTCTTTTTCACCCACCACAAATCTCATCTACAAATTTAAACAGCACTCGTGCCATTAGTTTGCCGCGAGAGCAGTTCGTGAATTCTTTGCGCACCGGTCGAATTAAGCATCGCGTCGCGAAGTTCGCAAATCACGAACAATAGTGAAGGAAGAGTTTTTCCTTTAGATAGAGTCAAGTGTCGTCACAGTGGTCTTATACTTTCTTCACACTAACAGATTTTGTTCATGTCTCCAGCCATGTCGTTAAATGAGCTTGCTGCCACGGTTTGCGAGGACGGTGAAGGAAGAGTTTTTCCTTTAGATAGAGTCAAGTGTCGTCACAGTGGTCTTATACTTTGTTCACACTTACAGATTTTGTTCATGTCTCCAGCCATGTCGTTAAATGAGCTTGCTGCCACGGTTTGCGAGGACGTATACTTCGAAATTTTCAGAAAAGGAGACAACAGAAAAATTCAACTTAGAATTGAAAGTAATCAATTATGGAAACAACCTTCTTCGAGAATTCTCGGGAAACCCTTTCCCCCTATTTCACCCACATTAATCCACAATATCTTTGCTTTAACTTTTCGATACTTAGAAAAACTACCAACAGCAAAAATTTGCGTTTCGATGTTAAGCGAAAAATCATTCCTCATGCTTCACGAGAGAACGCGTCGTCAGACTGTCCCTCGTAGAAGTAACCCGTACCAAGAAACATTGTGCGGAGCCTGGAGAATAGAGGAGAGGGTGGCATTACCGGATCCAAGGAGTGGCCGTTATACTAATTTGGCGGGTGCTCGTTAACGACCCCTTTGAGGTCATAACTTTTGCCGCAAGTCGCGCGCGCGCGCGTGTGAGTGTCCGTGCGTGTCGGCCGGCTGCGCTTTACGCGTGCCGCCCTCCCCTCCTCGCCCCACCGCACCCCCTCGCGCACCGCAGCAGGCGCCTTGGCTGCTGCTCAGTCAGTTCGCTCCTCGAAAAGCGTCGCGACACTCGCGAACGGGCGAGACGCGCTTTAACTCCCGGCTGGCCGGTAGTACGCATGCGTGTCCGATCGGCGCGCGGCC